AATTTATCTGCCCCCCCCCCCCCGGGGAAAGATATAATGAAGCTATGCTTTTCCCATAGGCAAGAAAATATTAGAAGCAGCCATTTCAGAAAGAGACCCTTACACACCAACACGCACTCTGCTGCACATACCCTTTCCTCCCAATCAATTTCAGTTAAAAAAAAGAACCAGAAAACTAACTGCCAGTCTCCCATCATCACCAGGTATCCAGAATTTTTGTTTATACAAAGGACGACATTTCACTACCAATCACATTGAGAAAAAACAAGACGGGATATATTTTGTTACTGATTGGCTTTACCTGTCAGATCCTAGCTTGCTCCTTTGCTGAAGTCCTTTGCATGAATAAAACTGCAGTGTGTTGGCTTAGATGTTCAAGTGATAGTAGTCTTCGTGTTTTGAGTCCAGAGTACTTTATCTTTTATGTATTCAACTTTAGAAAGGATAACTGCAAGAGAAAACTCAGTTATGCAGAGGTAGTCACCGGCACACTACTTACTTTTACATCAAACTAGTTTCTTCCTTAGTAGTATTGTTCTTCGCTTATGACAAAACAACTAGACTGACCAGTTTTTACTTCCTGGTTTTCATCTTTGAACACGTTAACACCTTTAGATCTGAATTCACAGCATGACACAAACATTTTTACAATCCTTAATATTTTATTACACCCAAGAAATTTCTCAGCAAAATTTTCCTTAAGTTTCCTTGCACTAGTAACTCAGACGGCAATTATTTCAATAATTCCCACAACTTACAAAGACTATCAACTTCTCATCTGTAGGACCTTTTCAAAGGCCGCGTTCAGACTGGCAGTTTGGCCCGACAGCCAAACGTTTCAGGAGCGTTTCACTAGCGGATTAAAGGGGCGAGTTCACACAGGCACAGCTGCCCGTCGTCCCCCAGCTGTACTCAAGCCGTCTTGTACTGCTTCCCTCCCGAGGTTTAAAAGTTCCTGGTGGAAGTGGTAGCAAACCGTGTGGAGAGTGGGTTGATTCTGGTTCCCTGACGTTTGAACGCAAGCACTGTAAGGCAGGAACAACCCGCAGTTGTTGATAATAGGCGCTGGCTGTTTCCGCGGCAGGCGCCCATGCACATAGGCGCATGCAGCGGAGCACAGAAACAGCCGCTAACAGCCTGCCAGGGGCGGGCCAAGAGTGCGAACGCTCCCTTGCGCTTCCTCCACGGTATCCTCCCACTTCATTTGCTGCAGTGTGAATGGGAATACTGTGTCCAAGTCGTTCCGGGTCTTCTTTGACGTGACTCCCTAGCGCTGCAAACTGCCAGTCTGAACACGGCCAAAGTCTATATTAGAGCTAGTCACAAAATTTAAAGAAAAAACCTTTTGGACGTTTAGTTATGAATGCAGATTTGAGTTTAGCACTCACATTTACATAAAGATACAGAATACAATAAATATATACTGCCAAGTCCACAGAGACGTTTCTAGTCTTTTTTTTTTTTTGCCATTAAGTCATAGCTAACTTATGGTGACCCTGTAGGGCTTTTAAGGCAAGAGACATTCAGAGGTGGTCTGCCGTTGCCTGCCTCTGTGTTGCAACCCTGGACTTCCTTGGTGGTCTCCCATTCAAATGCTAACCAGATGCTTCCATGAACTGATGAGAGGAGGCTAGCCTGGGCTATCTGGTCTGTAATATAATTCCTTCTCCTTGATGACCAACAGAACCATTCTTGAGGGTCACAAATCCGACTGTGGCGATTTGATATAAGGCTTTTTTATGCCACTGCAATTCCTGCAGAAAATCTAGTTTAGCAAAACTAACCCAATCTTGTCAGATCTTGGAGGCTAAACAGGGTTGGTCCTGGTTATTATTTGGATGGGAGACCACCAAACAAGTCCAGGGTCACTATCCAGTGGCAGGCAATGGCAAACCACCTCGGTTCA